CCTTGGCCCTGCACAGACACCCCAAAAATCCCACTCTGGACAGAGCTATCCCAGAGCTGTGACTCCACCAGGCAGTCCTGGCACAGGTCAGCTCATCCCACCCAGCCCTCAGGAGATTCTCCCAGGATGCTGCTSTGGTCTGTCCAGGTCCCTTGGGATGGCCCTGTCCTTCGGGTGTCACCTGCAGCCACCCAGACCAACCCTCTTCCCAAGTCCTGGCACCTGAAAATTCAAGGAGCGGCACTGGAGCCCTTGGAAATCCCTGGTAATTCTGCAGAGAGAGACCCACAATTCCTGCCAAGAATCCCAAAACCAGCCAATTCCTCCCAAGAATCCCAAAACCACCCAACTCCTGCCCAGGTATCCCAAAACCACCCAGTTCCTGGCCAAATATCCCAAAACCAGCCAATTCCTGCCCAGGTATCCCAAAACCACACAATTCCTGCCCAAGTATCTCAAAACCAGCCAATTCCTGCCCAGGTATCCCAAAGCCACCCGATTCCTCCCAAAAATCCTCAAACCACACAATTCCTCCCAACAATCCCAAAAACACACAATTCCTCCAAGAATCCCAAAACCACCCAATTCCTGCCAAGAATCCCAAAACCACCCAATTCCTGCCCAAGTACCCCCAAACCACCCAATTCCTGCCCAAGTACCCCCAAACCACCCAATTCCTGCCCAAGTATCCCAAAACCACACAATTCCTCCCCTACAATCCCAGAACCACACAATTCATCCCAAGTTCCCCAAAGGATGACCTTTAGTGGCACCTTCTCTCCAAACTGGCTCAGAACAGACCGGGAAGAGGGGCTGGGAAGGAGGCAGGTGAGGAATCCACCAAGGATTCATCCCCCATCCAAGAGGGATCAGCATTCCCGAGTGACCCCAGAGTTCTCTGGCCCCACAGGGCTGCGGCCCCAGCTGGGGTTTGGTCCCCCCAGAGTCCCAGGAGCAGAGGGAATGGTGTCCCTGTTCCGGGTGATCCAAGTCCCCTCTCCCAGCTCCGAGGAGGTTGGGGAGGGACTGAGGATCATGGCAAAGCTGGGAACAAAGCTCCCCACATTTCCCACTGCACTGAGACACAAAAGGGTCTTTTCCATGGCTTTTGATGTTTCTTTCCAGGAACCCCAAGAACAGGAAGGGCTGAAATCTCTCTCCTTGTTCCAATTAAAACCAGATTCCATTTCAATCCCCAGCCCAAACCACGACTCTTCAAACCCCAGCCCAAACTCCCTCCATCCCTCTGCCCAGAGCCCAGGCAGGAAAAACCCAGCCAGGAAGGAGCAAACCCTAAACCCTGCCCTGCTCCAGTGACAGAGCCAGGACAGGCTCCAGACACCGTGGGGAGGTGATCCCTGGATAATTTCTGGAGTTCCTGAGCATCCAGGGCAGCACAAACAATTCAGCTGAGACTGAGCATGCAGCTAAAAGGGAAACTTTTATTAAAAGACTCATGAGAGACATAAAAAGCGTAAAAATCCAACCCAAACCACACTGCCAGGACAGGGCTGAACATCAGCACAAAAACTGGGAGCAGGTCCTTGGAGTTATTTCCCTAAAAACTTTTCCTACTGCAGTAACAATGATTTCACTGGCACGTTGAAGACCCATTTTGGCAGGAAAAAGGAGTTTTTGGAATGGGGCATCAACKGAATCCTCGCTACAGAAGACTCCAGATATCACTAAACACCCTTAAATAGGGAGTGGTAAACAGAGACACCAAAAATAGGGAATTTATTTCCCATTTCAGTGGGACACATGGAATGTGAAGCAGTTTTAGATCCCTCAAGCTTTGGGTTTCATTTATAACGAGGGAAAGGGTGGGAGAGGTTCTTGAGGAGTTATTTTCCTACAAAGAGCCCGAAATCAATCTGTCAGTGCTGCCTTTGGTCAGAAACAGCTTCAGCCAGAGGAGAATGTTGAATCCCAACCCTGAGCCTTTTCCAAAGAAAATAAGGAGAGACCCAAAGCTGTTTTCTTCCTGGTATATTTAAAAAACCCAACCCAGGGTGAGCCCTCAGCAGGGGCTRAGGAGCCTGAGGGACTGGAGTCTTCCAAATCCTGTCAAGAGGGAGAGAATCTTCCGGTCTTTTGCAGAAATGTGGGATTTGCCTTTCAAGGGTGAAACCCAGCCCGGAGCAGGGGGCACCAAGCACAAGGGTAACAGCAGGGACACCCCACCTGCTCTCCGGGATGAATTTCACCCCACGGGCTTGATCCTGCTCCCAGAGGAGCGATTCAAGTCCAGGAGTGCAGGATCAAGCCCAGGCGGGGCAGGGGCAGAGCCTCAGCACTGCAGGAATTTGGCGGCCAATTCATCCTGCAAAAGGCACCACCGAGGCTTTTGTTTGCACGGTTTCCCTCTCCCGGGTGCTGGGGATGCCGAGCTCCGTGCTCGGGGTTACTTCCTGACGCTCCTGCGGGTGGATGAGGTGGTGGTGATGGTGTAGGATTTGGAGGAGCCCCCGGAGGAGAAGCCGAGCGCTCCACTGCCCATCCCCGCTCCAAGGCTCAGGCCGCCCCCGACGCCGTCCCCMAGGATGGTGCTGGAGTAGCCACCCCCTCCTCTGGAGCTGACCACGGCTGGAGAAGGAAGAGAACAGAGGCAACATCAGCACCTGCACCTGATGCTTTAGGATTTTTAGTTTCTGTATTTTCATGTCTCTGTATTTTCATGTCTCTGCATTCTTATATTTCTCCAGTGTACAGCACTAAAGCTCCCGTTCTTCCATCTTTAGACAAAACCTAAAATCCTAGGACACCTCGCTGCCTCAGAGCCCCAAAATATGGAAACAACAGAGAATTGGGGGGAGCATGTTTGGGGTGTTTGACATCATCACCTGAAGGTGTCATTGGAGAATTGAGGACCAATATGTTCATAAGACAGAACTTATAAAAGGTGAAGATCTCGTGATTCGGGGTCTATTTTGGGTGTAGCCTCAGGATCAGGCTTTGTCTGCCCTGAATGTACCAGCTGGCCTGGATTAAAGSCTGGTTTTATTCTCTTGATTTTGTCTGGCCTCTGTTTCAGGTGAGCCTTGTTTTAGGCATCATACCCAGCTGAGCACCCTCGGGAAAGACTTCTACAGTCCCCTTCCCACAGAATTAGGGAATGGTTTGGGTGGGAAGGGACCTTAGAGCCCATCGAGTGCCACCCTGCTATGAAGTGACACCTCCCACCACCCCAGGATGCCCCAAGTCCTGTCCACCTGGCCTTGGGTACTTCCAGGGATCGTGCATCCTCTTGGAAATCCATTCCAGGGCTTCCCTGCCCTCACAAGAAAGAATTCCTTCCCAATATCACATCTAAACCTCCCCTTTTTTGGTTTAACGCCCTTCCCCCTTGTCTTGCCACTCTCTGGATCCCCTGAGCATGGAGAACCCCCAGGAAATCCACTCAGAATCCCATTCCACAAACACTCAGCTCATCTCCCGGTGCCCCAGAGCTGTGGGAATGTAGTTCCCCAATTCCCAACAGGAATTAAATTAAATTAAATTACAGCCACTGGCTTGGAGCATCCCTGAGAGAGCAGCTCCTGCCCAAACCCCRGGCCAGGTGAGGATCCAACAGTTCCCAAGCTGGAAAAACACCCCCAGCCATCGCTGTGCKCTAATTCCCAACCCAGGGAATGCATTTCCCATCCCTTCCATCCACACAAAAATGGGGGGGAAAGAAGATCAAGGCTCCCCTAAGACCAATTCCATCCACATGAGTTGGAGCTGAGCTCAGGATGGAGCCCCAGCACCACCCCCAGCCTCAGGAGGGGCTGAACTGGGTGAACTGGGGCACTCTGAGCCCCCTTTCCYGTGGGTTTAGGGTGAGGAGGAACCACTACAAACAACAAAATCCACTCACAGATGTTGACGTTGCCAACTCCGTCCCCGGCCAACCTGGTGGGAAAGACAAAAGGAAGAGCAGGGATTAGACTCAGAATTCCCAAAGGGAAGAGCAGGGATTGGAATCAGAATTCCCAAAGGGAAGAGTGGGGATTAGACTCAGAATTCCCAAAAGGAAGAGCAGGGATTGGAATCAGAATTCCCAAAGGGAAGAGCGGGGATTAGACTCAGAATTCCCAAAGGGAAGAGCGGGGATTGGAATCAGAATTCCCAAAGAGAAGAGCGGGGATTGGAATCAGAATTCCCAAAGGGAAGAGCGGGGATTAGACTCAGAATTCCCAAAGGGAAGAGCGGGGATTAGACTCAGAATTCCCAAAGGGAAGAGTGGGGATTAGACTCAGAATTCCCAAAGGGAAGAGCGGGGAATGGAGTCAGAATTCCCAAAGGAAAGAGCAGGGATTAGACTCCGAATTCCCAAAGGGAAGAGCAGGGATCAGAGTCAGAATTCAGCATTCCCAGAGGGAAGAGCAGGGATTAGACTCAGAATTCCCAAAGGGAAGAGCAGGGATTAGACTCAGAATTCCCAAAGGGAAGAGTGAGGATTAGACTCAGAATTCCCAAAGGGAAGAGCAGGGATCAGAGTGAGAATTCAGCATTCCCAGAGGGAAGAGTGGGGATTGGACTCAGAATTCCTCATTCCCACAGAGAAGAGCAGGGATGAGATTCAGCACTTCCCATTTCCAAAGGGAAAAGCAGAGACTGGACTCAGCATTCCCACAGGGAAGAGCAGGGATTGGATTCAGAATTTTTCATTCCCAAAGGGAAGAAGAGGGATTAGACTCAGCATTCCCAAAAGGAAGAGCAGGGACTGGACTCAGCATTCCCAAAGAGAAGAGCAGGGATTGGACTCAACATTCCCCATTCCCCATTCCAAAGGATCAGAGGGATCAGACTCAGTTTTCCTGGGTCTGAGGAGGAGGACAAGGACAGGGACTTTCCTCTCCAKCTGTAATCGATCCAGAGCAGACCCCTGAGACCCTCCAGGGCTTTGTTCCAGCCCTGCATTTCCCAGCTCTGTTATCACCGGGATGAGGACAGAGCACAGAATTTTGTCCTAATTCCATAGGGATTTCCACTCAGAAATGTTCTGCCACAGCACCAAATATGATAGAAACAATTTTTTTCCTTCTTTGCTGATTTTCCCTAGTTTTTTCTTTTCCCCCCAGAATTTGCCAGTTTGGCTCTTCAGCCAAAGCATTTCCAGGACCAGAACTTGGTTTTTCCAAGGTTTCCTTGTCTGTATTTCCCAGTGGAAACGGGAAATGGGCTCTCACAGTGTCCCCAGACAAAGGGAACACAGGGCTGGACCCTTCTTGGGTGGACACAGAGCATCACCAACCCCCCAGGTGTCCCCACCTGCTCTCCTCGCCCTCCAGCAGCTTCCTGTAGGTCGCAATCTCGATGTCCAGGGCCAGCTTGACGTTCATGAGCTCCTGGTACTCGCGGAGCTGCCGGGCCATGTCKGCCTTGGCTTTCTGCAGGGCGTCCTCCAGCTCGGCCAGCTTGGCCCKGGCGTCCTTGAGGGCCATCTCCCCGCGCTCCTCGGCCTCGGCCACCGCCGCCTCCAGCTTGGCTCGCTGCGGGGATGGAGTGGCCACATCAGGGGGTTCCTGAGCCCTGGAGGAGGGTGCAGAGCCCCAAACCCCTGGTTCTGCTGCTCAGCCCTTGCTTCAAGGATCTGGAGCTCAGGGATTCATCCCTGCCTGGTTTTTGAGATGGAAGCTCATCTCCTTCCAAGGTCTCACAGAAGAAAACCCAGGAAAAACCCATGTCCCAGAAAAACCCATGTTTCTCTCCTCTGTAGGACTTTTTTCAGGTGACCCTCAGCTTTCCAGTTCCCCACAGATCCCCTGGGGTTCAGGAAACCTCATGTTTTCTCTCCTAATTTCCCCACAGCTTGCTCAGAGCTGGGCAGTCTCTGACAAACTCAGATATGGGTGGGTGTGGACTGGGGCCCACCCGGAGCTCCCAAACCCTTAGATCCACCCCAAACCCCTGGACCCACCCCAAACCCATCCCTTTGGGTGCCCAGGGATCCCCCAGCTGCACCCCACAGCTCCCAAAGCCTCGAGAGTGTGGCAGGAAGGCACCCAGGAAGCTTTGTGCTCCCATCCTTTGTCCAAGAGAGCTCCTGGCTCGTGCCGGAGCCTCCCTGCCCTGAAACCAAATAATCCGGGATGAATCACCAGCTTTATCTGAGGCACTGGGAGCTCGGGGCCAGGCCTGAGCTATGGCCCTGCCCTTCCCCAGCCCCTGATAAGGTGATAAAACCCCGAGAGAGCAAACAGAGCTCCCCAAAGGCCTGAGCCTGTGCCCAAACATGGTGTTCCCTGCTGGGAGAKGGGAGGGACGGTGATCCCAGAACAGGAATGTAGGGGGGCCCCTCTGTTCCAGGGGCCATTTCCACCCGTCCTCCCCCAAATTCACCTTCCTGGCAGGATCACCCTGCTCCCAGCASAACTGAAATCCTTTGGGATGAGCAGTGCAGCCACCCCAGAGTGGATCTTACAGACTATGGAATTGCTGGGGTTGGAAAAGATCTCTGAAATGGCCCAGTTGGAGGAGCTGTGTGACACCAGACCCCTGAAACATTCCTGACATCACAGAATGCCTGGAGTTGGAATGGCCATCACAGACTGGCACATGACAACCCTAAAAATCCCACTGATCCAGGAATTTGATAACCTCAGAGTGCTGTCCAAAGGATCCTGGAGCTCTGGCAATCCCAGGGTTCATTCCCTGGGGAGCCTGGCCAGTGCCTGGCACCCTCTGGTGTCACCCTTTTCCCAATATCCACCCTAAACCCTGCTGGCACAGCCCTGGACGTTCCCTGGATGCCATCCCTGGTCCCTGAGGGGTCAAACCCCACCTCCAAGGCCAGAGAAGGGCAGCAGAGGGGCAGCTCCTCACCTGGGCCTTGGCATTCTCGATCTCGCTCTGGATCCTCTGGATGGCCCTGTTGATCTCCGTGATTTCATTCTTGGTGTTCCTCAGGTCGTCCCCGTGTTTCCCGGCCGTCACCTGCAGCGCCTCGTACTGGGACAGAGCAGGGGGACACAGCGGGATGGGGTCAGGATGGGTCAGGATGGCAGGGGACACAGCAGGATGGGGTCAGGATGGCAGGGGACACAGCAGGATGGGGTCAGGGTGGCAGGGGACACAGCAGGATGGGGTCAGGATGGCAGGGGACACAGCGGGATGGGATCAGGATGGCAGGGGACACAGCGGGATGGGGTCAGGATGGCAGGGGACACAGCGGGATGGGGTCAGGATGGCAGGGGACACAGCAGGATGGGGTCAGGATGGCAGGGGGACACAGCGGGATGGGGTCAGGATGGCAGGGAATGAGCGGGATGGAACCCCCCATCACAGCACATGGGATACAGGTGCTGACAGAGCTGGAGATTGTGGGGTCACAGAATTGTCTGGGTGGGGAAGGACATCAAAGCCCATCCAGGAATGGTCTGGGTGGGAAGGGACATCAAAGCCCACCCAGTGTCACCCCTGCCACAGGCAGGGACACCTCCCACTGTCCCAGGGTGCTCCAAGCCCTGTCCAACCCAGCTTTGGGCACTGCCAGGGATGGGGCAGCCACAGCTGCTCTGGGAAATCCATCCCAGCCCCTTTCCACCCCACAGGGAACAATCCCTCCCCAATATCCCATCCATCCCTGCCCTCTGGCAGTGTGACCCCATTCCCTGTGTCCAGTCCTTCTCCAGCTGTCCTGGAGCCCCTTCAGACACTCCAAGGTCCTCCTGGATCCTGTCCCATCCCGAGGCTCACCTTGCTCTGGTACCAGGACTCGGCCTCGGCGCGGCTGCGGTTGGCGATCTCCTCGTACTGCGCCTTCACCTCGGCGATGATGCTGTCCAGGTCCAGGTTCCGGCTGTTGTCCATGGACAGCACCACAGAGGTGTCYGAGATCTGTGCCTGCAGCTCGTTCAGCTCCTGCAGGAGAACCAAACCCGTTAATCAGCGGGATTTGGGCTCAGCGCCCCTCTTTTGGAGAGAATCCAAGGAGARAAGGGAAAGGGAGGCAGAAGAGAAGAATTCCATTAAAATCAACATTAAATATGAGGGAATCAACCTTGCAAAGCACAGAGCAACAGCCAACGGCAGAGCTGGAGCTGCTTTGGCAGCAGGGCTGCCTATCCCATTGTGATCCCATTCCCAAGACACCAACCTGGCTGGTCCCAGAACCTGGAGAGGCCAAACCCCAGCACCTCTGCCAGGGATGTGTGCACAGCTCAGGCAATCCCTGACCTTGCAAACAGTGGGGAGGAGGAAGGAGCCYGGGACAMGCAGCTTTCCCTCATTCCTCTCACACAGCACCACCTCCCCCAGCACTAAATCCCTACAAATCACTCATCTCCCTTGTTTCCACACAAAATCCCAAAAATAACATCTGTCCCGTTACACCTACAATCCATCCAACCCACACTCCAGACAGGGAGCAATCCCTGTGACAATCCACAGGAATTCAGAGGAATTGCTTCACTTGCAGGCTCAGTTTTGCTGATGTAAGGAAAGGTCTCCATCACCTTCTCCACTCATTTTCCCAGCCAGCATTCCCTGCTCTCCCCCTCTGAAGGAGATGGCTCCTCACCGCCTCATGGAAAGCCCTCAGGAAGTTGATCTCGTCCGTCAGCGCATCCACCTTGGCCTCCAGCTCCACTTTGTTCATGTAGGCAGCATCCACATCCTGAAAAAACGAGGAATAACCCACTGAGATTGCAGAACTTGGATGCCTGAGCTCACCCAGCCTCTGGTGGCTTCCAAAGGAGAGCTCCCCAAACCCACTCTGGGTGTCTCAGTGACACCCCAGGGCCTATAAACAATCTCCCAGGGCATTTAATGCTGCTGGAGGGCAGATCCTGAGAGTCCTGGGGATCTCCTGGATCCCTCTTTACAAGTTCAGTGTCAGGTTGGGTGTGGAGACCTCAGGAAAGATCCCCAAGAATGATCCCCAGAAGATCTGGCATCATCTCCAACACCCCTGGGATCTGACATCTTTTCCCTGTGTGTGTGGAGACTTCAGAGCCTCCCCGAGCTGCCTTTGGCAGGGGTGGGGTGGAATTCTGCCCCTCAGAGCTTCAGCAGAGCTGGAGTAAACTGTGAGTAGGGCAAAGAGTAAACTGTGAGTTGGGGCTGATGGGAGAAAGGGCTGCACACACTGATGATTGTCCCCAGAGGAGAGCCATGGCTACCCCTGGATCCCTGAAGTGTCCAAGGCTGGACAGGGCTGGATGGGGTGGATTTTAGGGTCCCTTTCCACCCAAACCTTCCCTGACCCATGACATTCACCTTCTTGAGCACCACGAACTCGTTCTCAGCCGCCGTGCGCTTGTTGATCTCATCTTCGTACCTGCCAAAAAAAAAAAAAAAAAAAAAAAAAGTTTGGATTTTTGTGAAGGTAGAGCCTGGATAAAAGGAGAAACACCCCAGTGGAAGGTTACCCCAGTTCCCTTCTCTGTCCCTGCATTCCTCGGGAGCCAGCCCAGCAATTCCCCACGGTTGGGGCTCCAGAGGTGCCATGGGTGCCATCAGGATGAGCTCCTCCACCATCCCCTGGGGAGCATCCCCTCCCTGCTTTCCCAAAATCCTCAAAATTCCCTGTGTTTYAGGGGATTCCTGCTCCTGCTCCTCATTTGGGAGGRTCCAGGCTGTGCCCCCACTTTGTCACCAGCCCTTCAAGGAGCAAAGGAAGAGGAAGAGAGACACAAACAGAACCCACGGACTCCTCTGGGCTGATCCCAGCACCTGCACTTCCCTATCCCTGACTCTTGGGGACATTTTGCAGGTGCTGAGCACAYGGCACTGTCCTGGGAAGATTCGGAGCTAATTAATTATTTAATTATCTGTTTAATTAAGAACCAGAAGTAATTAATCACCCTTTTTCTTCTCCAAAGCCTCACCAAATTCCAGCCCTGGGGCCTGCCCTCCTTTAGGTGCTCACCCTCAAATGAGGGGCTCACCTGAGAACCTCCAGGGTTTCACCTGAAGKTCTCCAGCAGGTAAAAATCCCTCTCCATGGATTTCACAGGACCCCCACATTTTCAAACCTGGATCTTGGAGCCCACTAGACCTGCCTGTGCCTTCCCACCTGCCTCAAGCCGCTCTGGGGATCTGAGAATCCCAGAAACCACCCAGGAGCAGAGCAGGAAGCCCTTTGGCTGTTTGGGAATCGCTGTTGCCAGGTTCAGGCTCTTTATTTACACGGGCCTGGCACAGCCAGAGCTGGAATTTGCCTTCCAAAGCAGGAGCAGTTTCACCTCCCTCCCGCTCCGAGCTGGAGCCGCGCCCGTCCCCACCAGGATCGATGGACGTTGCCCCTGTGGAGGTCACAGAGCTGCCAGCACCACCCCAAAGGAGCAAACCATGGAAATGACGCAGAGGCGCCGCCTCCAYGCACCAGGGATAACAGAAAAAATGTACAAACAGGGAATTCCTCTGGGATGGATCATCAGATTGCTCCTTTCCTGGACCAAGTGGACAGTGAGGTGGTCAATCATGGAATGATTTGGATTTGTAGGGACCCTAAAGCCCATCCCATYCCATTCCATCCCATTCCACCCTTGCCATGGGCAGGRACAGCTCCCACTATCCCAGGATAACCCATCCAACYYGGCCTTGRGCATTTCCAGGGGTCCAGAGGCACCCACAGCTTCTCTGGGAAATCCATTCCAAGGTCTCCCCACCCTCACAGGGAGGAATTCCTTCCTAAATCATCCCATACTGTCCTGAAGCTGTTCTGAAAGCCCAGGATTCTCCCACCCCTTTGCCCCGAGCCCTGTGGGCAGCAYGATCCTGGCAGCTCCAGAGTGAGGGGCTGGATCTCATCCTGGGGGCCTTTCCTCCCCCAAATATCCCCTGGGAATCCCTGTGGAAACCAAACCTATGGAAAAGAGGTCCCAAGCACGCCCAGAGCCACGTCACAGTTTAARTTTTCCATTTATAAAGGAGATTTTCTCTACAAAAGTGGGGAGCAGCAGGTTCTGCATCTCAATTATTGCACC